TGGACCTGGTCCTACATACTTACATCCATACAACTTCGGCCCAAGAGCTAGCTAGCTATATCTTTCTTTTCCCTTTCCCTAACGAGACTGGGAACGCAATAGTTCCTCCACGTGGACACGAATTATGCATGTAATTAAGTCGGTCACCGATGAACAATAAAAAAATAAAAAAAGGACTAAACACTCCGGTGCATAAATTTGCTGTTGGGTTTTACATATCTCGACTTATCCCCTCCCCACCAACTTCAGACCCGAGTCGGGTTCGGGGTCCGAAAACGAGCGGGAAGCGGGATTGAGAAATGGCCCGATCCCGGTGGGTATTTTTTCTGGATTGGCTTCAGTTCCCACGTTATGTATTCTAGACTGCTGCCCAAAAGCTTCCAAGTCTTACGTACTTGCATACCTGTGCACGGCGCCAAGTTGCCCAGCGGCGACTAGTAAGGACGGTGCCTGATTCCTAGCTGAAGATATGTACTTGCGACCAATGGATAAAGATGATTCATAATGATACCAATGGGTGTAATTATCTGGGACTAGGTACACTAATAAGCATGGCCGTCATGGTGTATGTGTGTCTGTGTCTGCGTCTGTGTGTGCTTGAAACCAAAAAAGAATCATAGTAATCTCGGACGGGTAAGGCTCATCTCGGCCCCGATGATCATCATAATTCTTTATCAATCCCCGAGAAAAAGGATGAAGAGGATCTTATCTACGGATCTAGACATGCATAAAACATAAAAAAAAATTAAAACAATATCTGCACGTTTAATCCCACCTACGATATAGTAGGTTTAGCTCGATCCTGTTCACCCAATATTCACCTATGTAATAGATCATACGCAAGTTTATATTCGTTACCTAATTATACGAATTATACGAATTTTACATACACGATTGGCTCTTATGAAGCAGCACACCTTCGCTACTCTCGCTTTCCCATGTTATGCGCGAGGTTTATGCCCGCGCTTACGATTCCTATCAAAACCCTTGCGTCGATCGGCCATGAATGTCACCCAGAAACAACATGCATAACGGACGTGATTACCAATTACCTATACCACGGACGTAACTCCACGGCGATATGTAGTGTATGCACCAGATACTAACTGCTTGAAGCGTAATTAAGAATAGTCCGGTAAGGCTAAACTAAACCGCACAGTCTTACATATGTATCGCCAGTGTCAAAGCGCTATGGAAATTGTACAGTGGGGTGAAAAAAAAAACGTCAAATTGCCATTTTACACCAAAACTCACCAACTTCGAATAGCCATAACTTAATATAATTATATATAACCAAGGTTTTAAATTTTATAAATTATTAAATTATTATAAAATAAGTAATTGTACCGATTTAAATCTTTTTTAAAAATTTTATACATGCGAAAAACTGGTGTAAAAGTTGTAATAATATAAGGATTATCACTTTTATATAAGAAAAGGTAATATTTTTAACTTTTAAAAGGTTTACTTTTATAAATATATTTATAACTTACCCAATTCAATTTTTATAATTATAAAATGTATATATTTATAAACTTTATTTAATTCTTTATATAATAATAATTTTTAACATTTTATTTATATATAAAATTATTCAGAAAAGGAGTATAAAACATAAAAGGGTAATTTTAAACCTTTTTATTACATTATTAAATATTAACCTCATTTCAATAGGTAAAAATATAAAAAAATATTTAAGCTATTCGAAAATGAATAAAATAAATTTTACAAATTTTATTTTATTTTTAAACGTTAATTTAACTAAATTATAATTTATTAAAGTTGATGTAATAAAATGTTAAAACTATCTTTAACGTTTTTAAATTCTCCCCACTATATATGTCATGACAAATCGTGAAATCATTAGGTTAGGTACTACTGCAGTATAACGCTTCCTGATAAGACAAATAGTCTCGTTCCCGTAGCAAACTACCGCTCGAGCTAGTGAGATCGATACATATGTATATCTCGTCTGATGATTCATCAGAGCCCAGAGCCGGGGGGCGGGATTTCTCTCACGCGCCACTTTGCGGAGCCGGTGCGGATGAGTTTAGTATATCCTGATTCAGTATAATCGCGGTTTTACTAATCACATATACACTATGCTACGGAGCTTCCCCCACCACGGAGTTTTGACTTACATACATACACTATCACGTCTTATAGGTAATAGTAGAGTTTCGATGATTGCCCGCCCCACCCCTACCTATTTGGACCGAGAGTTCGGCCTGCTTGTGGGTAAGGTGACTAAAGAGGGAGGTCCGCAGAATACCTAGGTACCTAGGTATAATGAAGCTCGGAAATGTGACGGGAATATAACTCGCCATAAGTTAGCAAAGCGGTACAATACCTGTATATATACCTAGGCATAACTATACATACATAGTTCCGACTAACTTACGGACCTGGCCGAATTGGGATACTTTATTTCTTAAAAGATGTTCGAGACTTTATTAGCTAAGAGACGACTAATGCTTATAATGCCCGGCTTAGTATCCTATTAGTATATCGACCAGAAATGTTATTAATCATGAATAATTAAACCCGTTCAACCCCGTCTCGTGTCGCTAACGGAATTCACATCACCTATATAGGTACTACTAAGCTTCACCATCATTCTAACCCGCGGATTCCAAATGATGACGAGACAAACTAACTAGCAAGTTTGCTAAGTTATCCCGTATGTATAACTAACCAGGTACCTATCAAAACACCTTAACGCCGATCTTTCTCTCCTAGGTCCTGCTGCTACTACATACAGAAACGATCACGTCCCCCTCACACCGACTTAACTTCACACGAGTAGACAAATATGTTAGGTACCTAGGCAGGTAGGTAAGCATCGTAAAACTAACTACTACCTACCTCCTTCACCAGGACTTAAACCCAGCCTATCTCCACACACGTCACCCGCAACTACCTAGCCAGTTCCAACGACATGGCTCTGGGATCACCTCTACCGCACCCCTGGTGCCCAAGGCAGACCTCGTCGGAGCATATACTCTTATACATAGGTACATACATACCTTGCTCCCGACGGCGGTCGGACTTTCGACGTCGTACAAGGCGAACCTGCCATGTAGGAATTCCGCTGCCAGGGCGGGTTTTCGTTAGTAGTCCAATGGAGAGGAACGGACGATCTAGGTATTGATCGATCAGACTAAGCCGCCGCCCTGTTGATATAGCTAACCTACCTAGCCAGCCTGACTGTACCTAGATAGGGCCGGTGATAATACCATATCTCCGGCTGACAAGTAAGATTGGACGTCCCGCGCGCGAGAGCCTTGTCGACGCGGGATGTGTAGGTTACACGAAATCGGCGATATATACCCTGGCTTATATCCGAAGTCTACCTACCTAACCTACATAGGCATTCTATGGTAGTAAGATGCGTATGACTTGGGGAATTGCTTGTAGAGCGAAACTTATGAGGTAGTAGCGAAGGAAAATATAGGATCGTCACGGGGTGTATTGCGAGATTTATGATATGATCTAAGGCGATGGATGCCCTGGGGAGGATCTGATGAACCTAGGGGTAAAAAAACTACAACGGCATACAACTTTATACATATGTAGCTCTGGGTTGCTAGTACAAAGCACTGCCATGGCTCTTTGATGACGCTTATATAAACATCGGGTTATTCTACCCAGGTCCAAACGTAATACTTATCCCGTTAGTTATGGGGATATTGCAATATGAACGAGCAGCTTAGGTAGGTAATCCATATAAGAAGAACTGTCTGGAATATAGGTAAGGACTGGAGTTCTTTAAATATCTTAGGAGATGGGAAGTGTCATTCAAGTATATATATTTTCTAATACTTCGACATATGTAGCCCATACATTAGGTGCCGTATAGGGATAAGTACATTAAATCGGCGACATCACATTAATGACAGGTTAGGAAGTGTCTCGAGGGCGAGCACAGATATATACCTACCTACCTACCTAGGTACGTATGCTAGTTTAGAACATGAACATAGTTCCGCCGATAAATGATACGAGTGAAGATCTGGTTGGAAAGAACATGTGAAGCAACCAAACCAGATCCATCACGACTCGTACGCTATCGCACGGCTTCACCCATCTCGAGACTCACCATGGCTAAATTCACCATCTAACTACTGCGTCCGTAATACCTAACCAACACAGGCGACAGTATCTCAGCAGATATCCAGCAGCCCCCTCCCTCCATATCCATAACAACGCGAGGCCTCCCCGAACCAACGACATGGCATAGGTAGGTACCCAAGTCAAACTCGCCTCCATCAGCCGATACCTACCACCACCAACGAGTTTAATTTCGATCTCCGCCCTCCACGAACTAACCCCCTCCCCCTCCTGAGCTCTCCCACCGTCCCTCCCACCACCCTTCGAGACATTTTAATACGCGCCTCTACATCGCGAAATCTCTCCAGCAGGCAAAAATCCCGTAAACGTGTCTGTGTCTCGGGCCCGCGGCCTCCAGGATCTAGATTTCCGCCAGGTTCGCTGAGACAGGTTCATCTCGCGAGAAAAATAACAAGACGTCCTGACTAAGTCTGCCGTAAACTAAACACACCGCCGTCGTGAGACGAGCACAAAGCGCTTTGCTGCTTCGGCGGCACCCACCCACCTGGGGTGTGGTGTCTTGGACCGCGGTCCTGTTTTGGGTCGCGGCTGGCGTAAACGGTCGTGCAGAGTGCGTCGCGTGTATATCGCGAGCCTGGGTTTGGGGGAGCAGACGGAGCTGGGAAGTGAGGCTGAGGGTCGTACTGGTCTGTCTGATAATTCATTGATCGAAGACCTTGTGTTCCTATACCGCGATGGATGATTCAGTGATACATCTGGAGGAAGCTTTTATGATGGAAATATAAGATGAATCGATCTCTCGTAGCAGACAAAGTTTTATTGCTATCGTGTACAAATAAGTCCTTCATTATATCTTAGACGTGCTGTTCATACACTTACTTCGTATACCTACCGACTCCGTTCTTTACCTACCAAAGATGTTCGCCATCATGCCAAACCAGTTAGCTAGCTGGATCTTATGTCTGTTCATACTTGCCGTCCGCGCACAGTCCGGCTGTAAACACGATGAGTATGTATCTGGCATCGAAGTAGTCCTGGAGGAATACTAATTGTCCGGCAGTTGTTATAATGCGCTTTTCCCATGCGATTCTCCGCTTGCTCTTGCAGAAGCTCTGAACTATTGCTCAACCGTCGGGCACTATGGCGCAACGGATTATCCGCCACAAGCAACGGCCGCAGTATGTATAACATCGCGCAACCCCGTTGCCCCTTATTGCTGCTTTGTCGTAGACGGGGCGCGTGAACCATCTATTTGAGACCTCTTATAAGTCCCCTGAGACAAGCAATCACTGACCTCAGATACTACAGTGTGGTAATACCAACAAGCGAGCCTACATTTCGGCTTGTCAATGTGGCGCCGTTTGTCCTTCTTTTCAACCTGTTACGGCGTTTTCTAGTACCATTGTACCAACTCTGACGACGCTCACTACTTCCACTGTTGCTTCAGGAAGTAATAGTCAGTCGTCACCTAGTTTTCTCACACCGGCCACGCCAGCCGTACCGACCAGTAGTATTCTTTTGAGCAGTGCGTCCCCCTCTAGCGTATTTGATTCGATGGTATCAAGCGTCCCGGACGTTGGGCCTTCGGTCTCGCTGGGGCTATCTTCATCGAGATCTACAGCATCTGGCGGTGCTGGGGGCGACCCGTCGTCACAGGCCCCAGCCTTAAGCACACAAGCGACAGTTTCCGATCCGGGATCAGGACTCACCATTTCGCTTGCCGATTCCACTTCGACGACCACGGCTTCACTTTCTACGGCGTCGGCCTCGAATAACCCCTTTCCCGTTTCCTTGAATGTCTCTAACACACTGTCAAGTACACTTTCGGAATTTTCCGTGGGGCAGTCGTCCGGAACGTTGTCGACACTCGCGTCAAATATTTCTCACCCGGCCACAACCTCATTGAGTCTTACATCAAGTAGCAGCTCGGCTATTTGGACGAATACAACTCGTACTTCGGGGGTGGGATTACCTCCCTCGGCTGATGCTAATACGGCGTCGTCAACCTTGTTGGATGTAACCTCGACATCGGTATCGTCGTCTATTAGTACATCTTCGTCCGGTGGCTCCGTTGGTACCAACTCGACGGTATCGCATAAATCCGTGACGGGTGCCTCGATTTCATCGCATGGCTCAACTTCGATTGATACGACGTGTACGCCGACGACGACGCCAACTTCGTCAACTCCTTGTCATAGTTCTTCTTTATACTTCCCCAATTCGACAACGCACACTTTTGCTCCAAGCGTCACCGAAGATTTCATATCCGCCTCGGTCTTCGGCAGTTCGTCGCGTTCATCACTAAACCGCACATCAAGCACTCCATCAACTTCAACAGCCAGCGCAACCCCGTCATGTACCAGCACATCTAGTTCAAAGATGATCGAGAATGGCGACTTCGAGCAGGGCCTGTCTCCGTGGAGTATCGACATGGTAGACGTCATGTCGACGAGCTACTCATTAGCGCGCCCCGGAGCGAACGGGTCGTGCGGCGCGTTTCATGTGCATATGCGACGAAACTCACAGACGGATGACCTGCGGGCGAACCTGCGGTTAGTTAGTCCGCTGATCTCGCCGCCGGCCTCACCGGGTATGTCGTGGGCCGTCTCGTTCTGGGTGCGGTTTGGAAGCGGGCGTGCCACGAACTCGTACGTCAACTTGTTTGCTAATGGCGAGGTGGCGCACCGCGTGGATGCCGCGGACAAGGGAGCCACAAACTGGACACGTGTAGAGTTTCCATACACAACGGCGTCTACTGATCATATGCTCCAGCTCGTCTTCTCGTTTGCGTTGGGAAACGCGCCGTCTAATGACGTGTGGATTGATAAGGTAGCTATGGATGTGACGGCTGCCAGTTCGGTGCCGGTGGGACAAGGGTTTGCTATCGCAGCCTCGAAGGCTAATGCTTCTTGATGCGGTAGCTTATTCTTTAAGCTAGACCTTGTATCATCTGGTTGTATCATCTGGTTGGAAATAAATCTGTACACTAGATTCAGAGTATCGCATAGATTGGAAGGATGAGTACCTAGATAGTTAGTTTTGTATTATGTTTCCTTATTGTAAGTTGTAACGAATATAAAGGTATTATATATATCCAAAGGAAGGTATACAATCTTATATTATCTCATATCATCAGTTTTTAGTTTTGACGGTTGTTGAGAATGATTCTATGTAAAGTAGAAGTCGAAGTGTATGTAAATGTGATATTTGGTGGAGCTTTCTCGGCAGCTTCGGGGTCTACGGGTGTGGCTTGTTGCAAGCATGGAAGTTGGAGTTACCCCACGTCTTGGTATAGATTAGATTATCATTCAGTCATTGTACACAGTAGGTACCTACCTACACTAGGCTGCGCAGCTAAAGAATTCAATATTTTATGGTGGGGGTGACTTTTTTTCGGGACATCTTCCCACCCTGCCACCTGCTACCGTAGCTTTCTTTACCTGTCATTTCTTATAGTTTTCCGAATTCTTCCATCTTGGAGATTCAAACCTTCTTGTATTTCTTGCGAGTCATACATACGCAGAATTTACTTCCGGTTAGATTGCGCTTCGTGAGAACCGCTAAGATTGACACTAGAACTGCCACTAGGCTGATCAACCCCTCAAGGAGCCTTACTATTGCAAGCAATTTACAGGTAATGTAGGCTCTCAAGAGCTGGTGAATCCGGTGTATGGCCTGCAAGGCAGATGCAGAGGAATATTGGTCAACTGCGGTCAACTGCGGTCAACTTGACTACTGGCAACCTTCAACCTTACTACTAGCAACTTCTTACATCCCATCCTTCTTCTTCTTCCCACTTCCCACTTCCCACCAAAGATTCAACCTACAAGCTCTCTACAAGCTCTTAAGTGATTCTGTTAGTCAACTTAGGTCAAGATGATGTCAGCACAGCTCCAACAGCCCGAGAAGGCTGGAACTAAGCTGTCAGCTTCCGAGAACAACTCAAGTAACACAGCTATCTCGTCCGGAGGAGGTCAACCAATACCTACCGGGTTCAAGCCACTCAGAAACCGCGTCCGAGATAGCAAGAGTCCCTACGTACGAGCGCACGCCGATAGTCTGGTTGCCTGGCAACTCCTAGACGATGATGCGATTAGCCGAGCAAAGAAAGAGAACAAATTGATATTCCTTAGTATCGGCTTCCTCGCGTCCCATTGTATGTTGATATACAGTTGGTATTAGAGCTAGACAATACTGATTTGCTCCCAGACTGCCATATTACGAGGCAAGAGTCTTTTTCTAATCCCAAAGTCGCGTCTCTACTCAACGAGAGTTTCGTGCCCATTCTAATCGATCGTGAGGAACGACCCGATATCGACAACATATACATGAGCTATAATCAGTCTCTCAGTGGAAGCGGAGGTTGGCCACTAAATGTCTTCCTTACTCCAGAGCTGGAACCCGTCTTCAGCGGCACTTATTGGGCCGCGCCTGGTGTCCAGGACGACGTGGAGGCGGAAAATGACGGGGTTGAAAAGCCCCTCGACTGGCTTATCGTTATTAAGAAGGTCCTAGCTTCGTGGTTGGACGAAGAGCCTCGTGTTCGCGAAGAGGCAAAAAAGATGATGGTTGAGTTGAGTCATCTCTCGGCGGAGGGTACCCTGAACCACTCAGGGAATGATTTTTTGCCGCCTACCTCTTCTACTCAAGTAGAAACAGCTACTTCATGTTCTGATCATCCCCGCGAAGTTTATGGTGAGGTCGACTTGGACCAAATCGAAGAGGCATACGAGCGGATCACAAAGACTTTTGACCCCATGTTCGGTGGCTTCGGCCTCGAGGATAAGTTCTTAACCCCAGCAAAGCTCTCTCTACTTCTGAGAGCTACCCGATTCCCGAAGGTCGTCCAGGATGTAGTCGGGCCAAACGACTGTAAATACATTAGTGGTATGGGCTTGCATACCCTTCGAAGGATTGCAAACGGCGCAGTGCATGATCATATAGGGGGCGGTTTCCATCGTCATTCTATTACTAGGGACTGGTCATTACCGGCCTTCGAAAAGATGCTGATAGACAATGCCCTACTCCTCGGCCTCTTCTTAGATGCTTGGCTTTTGTCTGGAGGCACTAAATACGGCGAATTTGCTGATATGGTGACTGAGGTTGCCGATTACATTGTCAGTGATAGAATGCTGTCACCAAATGGTGGATTTTTCACCAGCGAGGCAGCGGATTCGTACAACCGAAAGGGAGATAAAGTCATGCAGAATGGAGCCTACTACTTGTGGACTAGGAAGGAGTTTGACGCTATTGTTGGTGATGAACAAGATAGCGCGATTGCGGCGGCGTACTGGAACGTCCAGGAGCATGGCAACGTCGACCGCGAATACGATCCTCACGACGAGTTCCTCAATCAAAATGTCCTCCATATCGTTAAGAACTCTACGAGGCTAAGTAAGCAGCTCGGGATCTCGGAAGGAGAGGTAAAGCAGCGAATACAAGCTGCTAAGGCGAAGTTGCGCTCTCATCGGCAGAGAGAACGAGTTCATCCAGAGGTTGACACGAAAATTGTCACAGCGTACAATGGCATGGCGATTGCTGCCCTAACGCGAACAGCTTCAGCTTTAATTAGCACCGAGGCTGATGTATCAAGACAGGGGCAAAAGTATTTACAAGCAGCTAAGAATGCAGCTCGGTTCATCAAAACCGTGCTCTGGGATAGCAACAAGAAAGTCCTCTATAGAGTATATTCTGCCGGCCGAGCGTATATTGAGGGGTTTGCAGAGGACTATGCTTTATTGATCGAGGGACTTATCGAACTCTACGAAGCTACGGCAGACGAATCGTGGCTTGAATGGGCTGATGAGTTACAGCAGCTTCAGATCAAGATTTTCTACGACAATCCTACACCAGTACCGACGATGGCAAACGCTAGATGCGGGGCTTTCTACTCCACGGCTTTGGGTGCGCCGTACACGCTGCTCCGCATAAAGGACGCTATGGATACCTCACAGCCGTCTGTCAACGCAGTGTCCGTTTCGAATCTGTTCAGACTGGGTGGACTCCTAGGCGACGAGCATTATACCTATCTGGCAAAGGAAACCGTCAACGCCTTTGGTGTCGAGATGTTGGAACACCCGAACCTATTCCCTGGCTTGCTGTGCGGTATCATCCCCTGGAAACTAGGCGGTCGGCAGTGGCTCGTAGTTGGGAACAAGCCTATGCCCGAGAAATTAAGGGCATTCTATAAGGCGCCCCGCGCGTCTTTATTCACGCTTCGCTATCATGCCCCAGGAAACCCAAATTCCTGGCTTAACAAACGAGACCCCCGAGCCTCGAACTTCCCACGAGAACAAGGCGTGTACGATAGGTCTCCGGATGGCACGTATCGTAAATTAGGTCCCAATGACCTACTCCTGTTCGACCCAGCCCACGAGTAAGTACCCCACGCCTGGGGGGGTTTTCACGAACAAGGTATCGAATAAGTATTAGTGGAAAACGTATCTAGAGATGCATGAAACGAGGGTTTCTCCTTTTCGTCCTGGGTGGGAGCATGGATCGAGGTAGATACTAGGGGGGGCGTCTACGGTACAAGATTTACGGGGATAGGTTCACGTGTATGTTATATTATTATCTGCATTGCTTGGCGATTAATTGGTTGGTTGCATATATGTATGAAGTCTAGGGAGGCGGGGGGCGATGACGGTAGTCTTGAAATTTTGCATGCGATGAACGTTAGTCTAAGTGTCTGTTGCGTCGCGTTTTTTATATTGTCGTGACACGTATATGTGGTATGAAAAGGAGGGTTGGGAATTTGGGTCATTTTGGCCTGGTTTACCTGGTCTTTAGGTGTCTAGGTACTCAATGTTTCGACAAAAAAAAGGTGGGTAAAGTGTAGAAAGGCTTGTTGGCGTGTGCTGTTTTGTTTCTTGCCATTTTACTCTTTCTTCTATTGATGCCTAACTACTATTCCATCAGGCCAGAAACGACTTATCGAGTTCTTGTCCTGTTGATAATTATCTAGGTACCTAGGTACCTAACCGAGGCAGTTTTTAGCTTGAATGGCTATGCGTGTGCACAATTTCGAGCAACCTCCTCCGAGTAGGTGGAGGAGTTATAGCAATCGAAGTGTTTAAATGTAAATGAGGTTGGATTAAGTATCAAGTACCTACCCAAGTAGGCACCAACTGTAAGCACCACGGGTAAAGTAGAGGTAGTAGTTTTTTTTTTTTACGTATTTTCTGTTCTCTTCGTATTGTTTAAGGGGTATCTATTCTTATTCTACGGCATCGAACCGTAGATGCGGGGTTTTGTTTGCGCTCTCCCGGGCGGAAAGACGGGATGATGTTTTCAGATAACTAGACGGACAGCCGATAACTCCAAGTGCTGATGCGAGTCTCCTCTTTATCTTTCACCAAAAAAAGAAAAGAATCCTGCCCCGATGATCCCTTGCTCTACTGCGCTTTCCCCCCTCCTTATCCTCATCCTCCTGCCACTCCCAGATACCAACACGACCCCCTTGTTTTTACACAGGGCTGTACAAATGAGAAGGGAGGGGAGTTCCGCGTAAACCCGTTAGGAGCCACGATGCGTTGCTCGTTGGATTGAGCGCGATGCGTCGGGATTACTCCTTGTGACCTCCATGTTCGAGTCATTCATATTGAACGAATAATCTCGTCACGGCTAGCTACATGCAACTCTGTCATGAATCTTCATCGTGTTGCACCTGTAGCGTCGTCACTGCTCCCATCACGTCTTGCCTACACTACCGCCAGCTGTTGGCTTTCTATTCATTAGATTGCCGAAGAACTTGGCTAACGTATCTGTATCTACTTGTGTTCCCCCTTCCTCAACCCGAGACTCTTCGTCTAGCCGGGGTTCAGGGGATTGTCCATAGGCTTGGCGGTCCTGTTGATGGGTTAGTGATAATCAATAGTCTCGAGATACGAATGGAAACTTACCTTAAGCCGCTGTACCATATCGTCCGCGTCCACTTGAATACCACCCATATTAAACTGCACCGGTCCAATATGATCACTGATCATCTCATCTGGGGTTTCTCGCGCGAATGTGTTGTTGTTAACTTTACCAGCCTTCTCGTCTATCTTCTTATGTTGATCAAGTCGCTCTATCTGACTGGCAAGGAAGGCTTGCGTGTCGACTGAGGGCACTTCCAATTTGCTCGTATCTTGGTTTCCTTGAGCTAACTGCAAGGCATCCAGACTTGTGTCTTGGACTTGCTCTTCGTAGAGGGCGACGGAAGATCCTTCGGGCTCGCCCGTTTCGCTTGTGCCACCACCTACCTGGTGGTCGGCATCGTTTGTCTTTGTCGTGGGGAAAGGTTGGTCAAGGTCTATTGACCAACCTTCGCTAACTGTCTCCACGTCGAAACCATCTCGCAATACTCGAATTTTGCCCCAAGAGTCCCAGTTAGGGGGCACTACAATCTTGTCCCGGTCAATGACATTGGCTTTTAAGGAGCCGCGCTTTAGTAATGAGTGAATTCCAAGACTGGCGTGAATAAGGCTTTGTAGCGGCGATGCCATTGATGGCGTCGTGTAAATAAGAGAAGCACCGTCTGGTTGCAGATTAGTTAGACTGCAAGGATAAAAATTTGTACCGTGGACATACGTCTTAACAACACCGTTCTTAGATATTGAAGCACGAGATCGAATTTCTCCTCTTTCCACGCCTGTGTCTTTTCCAAATAGTCTATTCTTTCAGACTAATAGTATCTGTTAGCGCCATACCTGCAAATTGGACCGGAGTAACTCACATTCTGGCATACAACGCAGAGTGGTAAGCCTAAAGCGTCTTCCCACTCTCCTGGCCCGAGCGGTAGCGCGACGTCCCCTTCTGCCGCAACCGCGCCGGTGCCATCTAGGTTCACGGATCCACCTGTTCGCCCGCGGTCTCTCCAGCTGATCATTACCTCCTCCATCGTCTCCTTGCACTCAAGACTTAGGGACCTTATGACGGTTCGCAATAGCAGCAACCACTCTCGAAGTTGTCGCATCCATAGCCAAGGTTGGGACCAGTCGAGCAGTATTACTATTAATGTATTTGCAATCGATTGCGGAGTCAAAAGCGGTTTGATAAGCTCAGTAAAGGAGGGAGATGGGCTAGTAAGGAGGTAAACGGATATGCGTGCTAGAAAGTCTGGTTTCGGTCAGCGCATAAAACTTGACTACGCGGATCTCGACAAACTGACCCTCTTGATCTGCGTCTAAGACATTGTAATATGTATATCCAAGGGCGAAACTATTGGCTATTGGAGGGATCTTTTGACTATTCCGATCTATCCCTTTTCGGCCGTCGTTACTCGATAGGGCTTCAAGGAAGTCTCGTTGCGAATCTACGGAACCCCCTGAGATCTTGTTAGTCGCCCCCCTATGGCTAACGATTTAGAGAAACTCGTTCATACCGAGAACCAACATGTTTTTCTCAGGTAACCTCTTGCCGCTGGCGACAGAGTCGAGCATAGAGCTCCACATGTCCCTTTTTTGGTCATCCTTCTTTCCCTCCGAACCGGTACCGACTGAGGTACTCGTATACGTGGAGAACCGGTTCGAATTGGCCGTCATGTTTGATTTCGGTCGATTGGTGATAGCATTGGGGGAGACCTATGTTGCGCCTGGGGCTGCCCCTAACGTAATGGGGTTGAGGTTGCGATCACTATTAGACCCTTAAAACGCGTCTTAAGGTCGAAATCTAAGCGAACCGCGTTGGGGAAAATGGCGATTGCTGGCTTGAAATGTCACCAAGACTTTTATTCCCTTTTCTTTTCTATTTAACGAAATGAGACACTTGGGAGAGATTAAAGGGTGGGGGTCCTTGAACAATGAACGAATAACCTCCAAAGTGAGATACTTTAGATTTAACATAAAAAACATGTAACAGGTAGCTACTACATGTCACTTTTATTCCCCTTGAAGCTCTAGTGTATGCATTTGGTTAACACCGGCCTAGATCACTGACATATTTTAGTGGACCTTCAGGCCTCAACGGTCCGACCTTTTCCCCAGTAGGTACCTATTGTACAATACAGGGTTTCGTTAGGTCCAGGGGTTTCACAGAAGCAGCTAACAGGTAGGTATGGAAAGAATTACGTGGATAATTACCCTTTTAAGCTTAGATCAGACTTCACTTTTTAGTGTATATAGAGGTACCGGCCTACAAATTGCGGTACAGGTACAGGTACCTTGCGTCGCGTCCGGAGCTCTCAGAGTGTGATGACAGCATTTTCTATTTTCTAATTATTTTAATCCCCGTCATCAATCAGCCTTGCAGCTAAGCTTCTTAGTAACCCTTCTTACCATTTCTTAGCCTGCCCAAGCTACCTGCTACCTGTTTGTCTTTGTCTTATATCTTTCCCTGAAACTCATTAGAATAACAGTATTTGAATGCGACATTATGAATCAGATACGCGCTATCCAAGCGCTAAACAAACGCGAGATTGAGAATGGCGTGTAAGTTCTTTGTTTCTCATGAGTCGCATTATAAAATCCTTTATGCTAACAACAAACCAGGTCGCCAGAAGCCTCCTGGCACACCGACTATCGCGACACCGCCTTTATCAACTTTGGTGGCCTGCCGTACGAACTGTCGGAAGGTGACATTATCACGATATTCTCGCAGTACGGAGAGCCCGTCTTCCTAAAGCTCGCCCGGGACAAGGAAACGGGCAAGAGCAAAGGATTCGGCTGGCTCAAGTACGAGGATCAGCGCAGTACGGACCTGGCCGTGGACAACCTAGGAGGCGCCGAGATCAACGGTCGTCTAGTCAGGGTTGACCACGCCCGATACAAGCCCCGCGACGATGAGGACCCTGAGGAGTTCAAAGTTGGTTGGGAAGATATCATGCGCCGCGAGAAGGCCGCTAAGGGTGAGGATGTAGATATGGAAGAGGCTAGCGAGGAAGAGGAAGAGGTGAGACGCCCGATGATCAAAGAGGAGATAGAGCTAGCGAAGCTCATCGAAGAGCACGACGAGGATGACCCGATGAAGGGCTTCTTGATCGAGGAGAAGAAGAAAGAAGTCGAATTGGCATTAAGAAAGGAGAGCGGGCGGAAGAAGGGAAAGGATAGAAAAGATAAGCATCGGCATCACCACCATTCCCATAGATCTAAGAGAGACGATAGGGGCAACGAGGAGCGCGATCGCCACAGGAGATCTAGGCGGGATGAAACACCGGTTGGAAAAGGCAGTCGAGAACGGGATGAAACGCCTCCAAGACGAAGGAATGATTCTAGAGATCGCGAGCGGAAAAGACGGGACGACGACCGCGACCGCGATCGACGTCGCGACAGGGAACGAAGAGACCGAGACGATAAGGATAGGGGTGAGAAGCATTCTCGCCACTACGACGACAAGGATAAGGATCATGGACGTAAAAGTAGACGAAGTAGAAGCAGATCTCCACGCTCGTATAGGGATTGACGATAATGTCTGTCTAATCGCTTAATAAAGATACCCCCCCAAAAGTCAATGCCAGTCAGGTAATCTTGCCAGCCCCTATCCTAGTGCAACATGATTTCTAACGCCACCTCCGACCAGATAACGCCTGACCCGCGAACCCATATACTCCACGCCGATTCCCCGTGACCATTTCAAATCAGTACCTCTTATATGGTTCCCCAAGGTACTCACCTAATTTATGCTTGGGGCTATGCTCGTAATAATCCTTGAGCTCGTCCTAATTCCCTAGGTATTTCTTCCAGCCTTCCCTGACGACTATGAATCTGCCGTCTTCGCCCTCCCTGAGAACAAATTTCTCCCAACGCGCATCTTGCCCAGCACCCACGACGATTAGAGTGTTCTCGTCTACCCAGCCGATCACCCCCTTCACTGGCCTACTAGTGCCCAGTACGGTCTCACCCCCTGAATGATTTCGAGGGGTAGGAAGAAGGGGCTCTTCTCCGGTTTCAAAAGGTGCGGTGGTAAAAGAATAGATGTCACCAAAGGGACCGAATGGTATGTTGCTTAGGATACCCCATTTATTCCTCGCCTCAGTATTGGGACCGCTTCCACTGGGAGCCGAGGGTGGCGGGGTAAACTGTTGATTACGTGGGTTAGGAACATCGAAGATGTGTAAGTTGCCCTTATCAGAGGTGCAGGCTAGCATGTTCCCAGATGGACTAAAACGTAAAGAGTATATAGTAGCAGATTCGCTACCACGACGTCGTTCAGCAAGCTTCGCGCCCCTATTAGTAGAGAAGATGCGGATAATTGTGCCCTGCACATAATTAGCATAGTGAATTAATCGAGTATTAATTTCATTTACCTTCTCGCTCGCTGTTGCGAGTAGATCCCCGTCTGAACTCAGTTGCAACGCTCTCAAACTTGAAGAATGTGCAGGAATGATGCTAACGCTGCCTGTGTCGAACTGTATAACGTGGACTTGGCCCGGCGTCCTACCAGGGATAACCAAGTGTCTCTCCGTTAGGCAGCAAAGACCGAGATAATTGTTTGTAGTCTCGTATATAGCGAGTGGCGTAGGGGGCTTCTGGAAAGCATATAGACGTACGCTGTTCTGCAAAACGACGGCAATCCTCGTCTTAGAGATCTGGACGCCGCGAACAGCGGTAAGGGTAGCTATTTCAAGGCCTATCTTGCCTTTGCTATCATCCCATATTATGGCCTTGTTCTGTGGGAACTTGGGTGAGCGGCCGCCACCGACAAGAGCAAGGTAATTGGCGTTGCCCATCATCTGGACTAGACCAAGGCCCGCATTGAAAACTGAGAGGCTTGTGAGACTAATTTCTAATAAATAGATAGGTATCATAACATACCTCTTGCTGTTTGTATTTGGCAAGTATTTGAGAGGAAGACTATCAAGCATGTAAGTGAGTGTAATGTATATAAGCTAAAATGATATGCCGTCGACAACATACTGCAGAACCCCGAGTCTAAACCGACCACAAATCGACTTGCGTCATGGTTGAAGGTGACAGAAAGAGCAGCATGCTCGCTGGGGTTTTCGATGACTGGTCGAGTATTCATGATGGCTGTTTTATAAGTCTACGCTGGTACTAATAATAAATAGAGTAGGCTAGCGAGAGTAATGAACACGACGACGACGACAACGGCCACGATGGGACGAAGTAAACGAAACGAACGAACGAAGGAATGATTCTGAGTCTCAAAAGGAACCAGAGAGTTCGGGTAGAGTCTCGGTATCCCAGATCATTGCTATATCGCACATCCGTGAAGCTTTCCGTCGGAACTGCCTTTTAGATAAACGGACCTATAGATGGAATGCGACGATAAGCGCTGGCCTGCCTAAGCTTGCTTCCCCAGTACCTGTCCTACATGCAGGCAGCCAACGGGGCCAGAGATGAGTCAAGGCTGATGAAACGTCGAACGAATTAGGAATGATATAATTCGGAGAGTCAGATACTGCAGATACTGGATCTATACAAGCTTTTGAATGAGAATGAGAGAAAATAGTAAGCCTTTGAATCGATGAAGTTGGTTGATTATCATCACAAGTCTGGTCCAGGCGATTGCTTGGGATGGGGCGTAATATGTTGCGCAGGTACAGTACACGTGAGAGTTCCATGGGTACGTAAGATGCTAAGATGCGTAAGATGCTAATGGAGATTTAAAGATGTATGTGTGCACGGACCACATGCTCCAGGTCTTATTACACTAGGTTGGCGTTGCCCCCGGCCATTGTTTTATATTGTAGGTAATCCGTAATCCGTACATAGGGGAGGAATGGTCTGAGAGCTCTTCCTCTATTTGCAAACCTTTTTATTAGTGGCGTTACAGTATGAACCTTACCATTGAAGCTGTGGCTGTGTCCTAACTGCCGGCCTTCTAATTGGACATAGGGTATCTAGGTACTTGGCATAACTTTAAAGACGATGAAGTAGAAGTCACGGTTGAATTGAATACAGGTACCTTAGGTACCTAATGTAATAGGAAATAGAATGGAACAAGAGCCCTACATAGGTAATCTCTGTTCCGTAATTGTTCTCTCTTGCATCTCCAGCCTCGTGTTAATTTGACATGGGGAAGTAGTGCTGGGTCAACCCTGGCTTGTCCACCTGTCCAATTAAATATTACGTACCTTGGTACCTCCCGTTAGCTCTTGCGGTATCAAAGCCTGAGCCCCTGAATTCGGGAGAGATACACTACAAGTGATCCGTGCTCTGATTTGGTGCCTTTCTAGTGGCCCCATAACCCCTGTCTGGTCCCCCTCTGTAGCAACCGTTTTGTGGTATTGAAATTGCACTTTTTTCTGGAGAAGAGGGAAGGAGAGAGCCGTCTGGCCGTCAATACCTAGCACCTAAGCTTTGGCGAAGCGAATCCCTAACATTTCTCAAATCTTCTTTGGTTTCCTTCATCAACACCCGAGCTGTGATCACACCCCCCCTTTCACAACGCCGTTTTTAGATACCCCCATTTGCGAAGATCCCGTTCCGTTTGACGAAACCTACCATCGTCAATCATTGTAATTTCAATTCTTTTTGCTAGGCGGACCTAATCACCCCGTTGCGAAACCCAACCCTTAGCCTAATATGTCGTCCCCAGCGGTGAGCCTCCCCTATCACGTTACAACCAAACGAACTTCGCGTTCCATGTTTGCTGTTTGCACTTTGCATTGTCATTTGCATCTTCATCCTACTCTCGTCTTCATCCACTCACTACAGTTGTATAATCTCGTTATAGCTACTAATCAGTCATGATGCGTTCGCAGAAGATGATGCGCCGGAAGAAGAACGTCAAGAAGGGAATTCAGTTCTGCTTGATGGTCTGCGGTGCTTCAGGAACAGGTATATACATAGCTCCCCCTATTATTGACGCGTTCCACGTGCCATCTCCCTCGAAGCATCGAGCTATCAACCACCCAGCTCAATGGAGATGCTAATTGTAGCTCTTACTATGTAGGAAGAACGACTTTCGTCAACACCCTCTGCAGCAAGAGTGTCTTGACCCACAAGGACTCTGACGACGCTACTGCCGCTCACGTCGAAGATGGTGTCAAGATCAAGCCCATCACTGTTGGTTAGTTGTTGCCTATCTTACCTAGGGCGTAATAAGCCAGTTCTAACATTTCACCGCAGAGCTCGAATTGGACGAAGAGGGTACCCGTATCTCTTTGACCATTGTTGACACCCCGGGTTTTGGTGACCAAATTGACAACGAGGCAAGGTACGACTCAATATCTAATAACAACACCTACAACGTACACTAATGCTTTTTACCTATAGCTTCTCAGAGATTGTTGGGTATCTCGAGAGACAATATGACGACATCTTGGCCGAGGAGTCGCGTATCAAGCGAAACCCCAGATTCAGGGACAATCGAGTACATGCTATGTTGTACTTCATTACTCCCACTGGTCATGGGTATGTGCTGTCTCTTGACTAATAACGTTTTTATATGCTCACAGTCTGCAGTCTCCGTGAACTCGACATCGAACTGATGAAGCGCCTTGCTCCCCGTGTCAACGTCATTCCTGTTATTGGCCGCGCCGATTCGCTGACCCCTGCCGAGCTGGCCGAATCGAAGAAGCTTGTCATGGAGGACATTGAGCATTACCGAATCCCGGTGTACAACTTCCCTTACGATATCGAAGAGGACGACGAGGATACGGTTGAGGAGAACGCCGAGCTTAGAGGTCTAATGCCATTCGCTATAGTCGGCTCCGAAGACGTTATCGAGATTGGCGGTCGTAAAGTCCGAGCTCGGCAATATCCTTGGGGTGTCGTTGAGGTTGACAACCCTCGCCATTCCGACTTCCTAGCAATTCGATCAGCTCTCCTTCACAGCCATCTAGCTGATCTGAAGGAGATTACCCACGATTTCCTATACGAGAATTATCGTACCGAGAAACTTAGCAAGAGTGTTGAGGGTGGTGCTGGAGTGTAAGTCACCTTTAACGGGCTATTATGGCTTTTTTCTAACGTATTGTTTACAGTGACTCTTCCATGAACCCCGAGGATCTAGCTTCCCAGTCAGTCCGCCTAAAGGAAGAGCAACTTCGCCGAGAAGAGGAGAAGCTCCGCGAAATCGAAGTCAAAGTCCAGCGCGAGATCAACGAAAAACGACAGGAGCTTTTGGCCCGCGAGTCACAACTACGCGAAATCGAAGCGAGAATGGCACGAGAGGCCGCTGCCGCCGCAGGTACACCGGAGGCAAATGGCGAACAGGAAGCCAACTAAATATTCTAGAACGACATCTTTCCTATCCTCCTACTACTGGTATATCGGCGGCCAGCTAGAAGTACGGATTGTGGCGTTGGGTGTTTGATATCCCCTAGTCCCTGACCCCTTAAAGCCATTCGAGATGACGCGTTATACGAAAATCCAACAAATTTAATGATTGCGTGGGATGCGGAATAGCAGAGGGCTTGGTGAAAACTTGTCAGGAATAAAAGCCAGAGTTGATATCCCCTTACAATTATTGCATGCCCAATTTTCGGGAGAGGGACGATGGTACAGCGGGAAAGAGAAGCAGTGTTTGCCTTCCCAATTTTTCATATCTGATGACACGTCGTCCGGTGGACAAACTGAGGGTGGTAGAGGAAGAGACAGTCCGCGTACCTTTGCATCTTTTGCGAGTCGATGTCCGTTTTACCAGTTGCCACTATGTAGCCTTTTCTACTTTTATGTCCCCTTTTCTCCTAGTATTAGTGCCTTCTAATGCAGATATCAATATGAGCTTTCTTTGATGTCTATTATAGTTACGCCCACGATCTAGATCTTGGCTTGTTCTGGTAATGATTTATATTGCTACGCTGCAAAGGCGCTGTTATAGACCTATAAGCAAAAATAAACACTGAGCTGATACAATATTTCGTCATACCATTTTCCTAAGGCCGACGAGGATTTGATCCTATCGCCAGGATTTTTTTCCCAAGCTTTATACTCATTCGCAGCTTGTAGGTATCAAGACGCTTTGAATAAGAAACATTTAGGCTAGCTGGGAGTTTAACTATCCCGACGTTACTAACTATACTTTGGAACAAACAAAATTCCTAGTTTCGGCAACCCGCCTCTTAATATTAAGCCCAAGTTGCTACTTCCTAAGACGCCGTTCCCTAAACTCATACAACAACACAAGGAAAAGGAAACAAAACACGAGTCCTGCAATAACGTCTAGAGCCGCGGACTTTCTCAAAATATCATTTGCGTCCTCTCTGCGAAAGGAAGCCTATAATTCCGTGTTTAACTTAATGTTCGTATCATTACAACTGAGATCATTCTCACCAACCCGCTTCACCTTTCCTAGTTGTTATTTTGGCTGTTTAGGATGCGTAGGATGGCCAAGAATAAGTTGATGATATCCAGGTATAAGCTGAGCGCGGCAGCAATCTCCTCCTCGACGTGGTGCTTGCGGAGGACGAGCTGGGTGTCGACTAAGATGTAACCGGAGAAAATTAGAGCGGCTAGTCCGCCGTAGACGAGCTCGCCAGTGCTACTGCCAGGAAGGAACATCATCATTAAGCCGAAGAGCAAGAGACCCCAGAGCGCACCGAACAGATACGGCATCCAGGAAGTGAAGTCGTATTTGGTCTGGCAGGCAAACAGCGTCAGGAAGACGAAGATGCCGCCGGTCAGGATGACGGCGTTGAGCACGATCTGTGTCTTGTAGAAGGATACGATAACCGAAATAGTGTAGGCTTCGAGCAGGGTGAATGCAGAGAGAAAGAGCAGATTCGTCGGGTAGGACTTGCGTTTCCAATAGGTCAGAAGCATGAAAACCATGGAGCCGAAAAGCTGTAAGCATCATCATGTTAGCTTCCATCATTCATTCATAAACATGTCACCCACTTCGAGGGAAAGACAGGTTTCAACATACCGAGGCCCAGATAAGACCTGGGTGCGACTGGATCCAAGTCCTGTAGCTATCGCTCCAAAAACTAAAGCCGCTGACGACGGCCGTGGCGATCAGCTGCACCGTGAGGATGGTGTACACCTTGCGAATGAACTGGTTGCGGATATCGATCGTCGCTTCGGCGACAGACCCGCCGAACTTGAAGTCATCGGGGATGTTGTCCTCGCTGCTGCGCGGGACATCGGCGAAGAGCGCGGCGGCTGGTGCGCTGGTCGATCCGGCGTACTGGTACGATGGGGGAGCCTGCGACCAGGTTGCCGCGTCGGGATCCTGCGTGGGCGCCGCCGTATACTTGATATTAGCGGCCATGGTGGCTTTGTTTGTTTGGGGGTTTCAATCCGTAGACGCTCTCGATAATAGAGGGTTCGTCGTGGCTGATGGACGATAGTGTGGATGGACGGGGCAAGCAAGCAAAAATGAGTAATGATCTACTGGTGATGGGAAGATGGAGGTTATTTTACATAGGTGAGAGGTGAGAGGTGGCCGCTAGAAAGCTCGCGCGGGCGAATCGCGGGGCGAAATGTAGGTAATGTATGTAAGTACTGTAGGTCATCAGTTAGGCAGGTGCGGGAAGGCTGTCTGGCTGTGCAGCAGTGTCAGAGCGCGGTCATACACTAGAGAAACAAATAAGTGGGTCGATTGTTTTTCTCAATGTTTCTGGTACATACTATCGACAAGAAACTTCTTAGTCATTATCTGCTTGGTTTTGATTGGCTTTTGATTTACCTAGGTTCAACCCAGCAGCCCAGATTATCAGAAGGCCACATGTGGCTTGAGTATGGTTAGTAAGAACTTAAAAGTGCGGGGCAGGCATGTGGAAGTCGAGAAGGCTAGCTGAGTCTCTACAGATCCAGACTTTCATTCAGACTTTCCGAAGATGGCTTGATTGTATTTTTTTTTTTTTCAATATATCCTGCATTGTGCAACTTACGAGCAATCACTTCCATATCCAGCATGTCCCAACTCACATCCGCATACACACCTAACGTACATTTATGATTTTCTAGGCCAATTGCCAATTATCAATGAAGAAATTTTCAACTTTTACTGCATTAAATGAAAGTCAAGTATTGAAAATTATTAGTTCTCTCTTCGAAGAGTGTCTTGTGGTTCATATATAATTAACTTATACCGGAAAGTCACAGCGATCCACATGGATTCCCCGCTCGCGAAGACTGTCCGGGGAATAAGCGACAACACACGAGAACGTTAGATGCGTGGTTGTGCGAAATTCGGCGCAGCTAATTCGCTAGGATGCCATGTGGAAAGGTGATATAAAAGCAAATCCATGCAGTAAAGTTGTCAGTCCCGGAGCAGTTAGCTCCCATTGGCCACTCATATCCACAAACAGATTTTGGTAAAAGTAGGTTGCATTGGAGATGGGAAGCTTGCGGCGGGGAAAGAATAGGAGAGAAAAAAGGGAAAAGATTCCACAAACTCGTCAAAGCAGGCGATCCGGCTCTCTAAACGAAACGTGGTATAATACGTAAATTCTCCTAAGCTTCACCTAGTCAATTGACTACTTTAAGTTATCTGAAAGAGAAAAAAGAAGCTATAAAGGAGCTTGTTTACATTTCGTGGCGTTTTAAGCTTACCTACCTCCTTATATTAAGAAAGCGTAGCACCACCTAATGTAATAAAGCTATCATTTTAAATTGGTACATACCTAGGTATGCAAAAGGTTCTCAACAAAAAATCAGATGTTACCATGTTTGAGAGGCATGTAAGTATATCGATCGCTGATCTATACCCTTGGCTTGTCTCCATTTTCGCCAAAGGGACGGACGGGTTCTGTGCACGTAATAAAAGGACGAAAAAGCTCTTGGCCATGAAGGGGGTCCCCTATCTATCTTTACCTAAGCCACTTAGGTCCTAAGTGGCCTGGTTATCGACGATATACACTGATCAGTGACCACCAAAGTGTTATTGATATGCCCCACTAATCCCCTGTGGGAAGGAGACGCTACCCTATTAGGTAAGTAATTAGGTAGTGTAACCTTAGGTTAGGACCGTTAGGACCGTTAGAGGTAGTGTAGCTTGAACACCCCTCCTCCTTTTATTTATTTTTTTTTTCTACTCTCCCGGTTCACCGCTCTGACCGCTCATCCTCGAATCTACATATCAAAAAACTTACAGCAGTGGGGGGGCCCACCTTCACTTCAACATCTTCAAAAACAACTTGCCTTCAGTCCTGTCCAGGTGGTCCCCGACTAGGTCAATGTCCCCTGTATACAGCTCCGGGGGTTCGTTGGACACATTCGTTCTTCTAAAATAAGAGTGATGATTTGTCTGTTTGTGGCATTCGTTTTCGTGTCCTAACTCCTCTTATCCCGTTACTCCGTTACTCGCATCCGCCAATCGCTTGACGTGTGAGGCATTCGTTATTGTGTAATCACTGGTTATCACAGGTTCTGATTTTGCAAAAGTTCCCCGCTGATCTTGTTGCATCGGCCGACATATCCGCACAAATTCACCATTGAACATACAGAACTTATTGCAACCAGACTTCTAGCGGACATTTCGATTTGAATATGAACGAACCCGAGGCCAATGCCCCTCCCACAGACCTTGGGGATACAACAAAGTCTACCACAACCATGGAGCCTCAAGTCGAGAAGCCCAAGACAAGCGCGGTGAGGCCACCGGTGAAGTCGCGGAGCTCAATGAACGGACCTTTGTACATGCAGACCAGCCAAAATAAGGTCTTAATTCGGAGAGTAAAGAGGAAAAACGATGGCCCTATGAGGGGCTTGGCTCGTTGGTTTCTCGAGAATCAAACTGGTATGTTTACATTTACCTACAAAGTCCATCCAACAGCTATTTTCAACCCCTCCCTCCCCCGTCATGGAGTGTGTAGGGTCCTGCTCGGTACTCTGTTCCACGACAGTAGCATCATACTGCTAGCTAGCTAGCTAGCTAGCTAGTATTCCCATACACTCTTTGCTATCGCTAATAGTTTCCAATCGTATAGGTCTCTCGTTCAACTTGATCACTTTGATCTTCCTCACGCACATATGCCTTCCCAAAGCACGGCCTCACACCTCCAAATTTTTTACCCTCTCATACTACAACCCGGAATCTGGGAAATATGCGATTGGTACGAACGATTACCACTTCATTTCGTTCTGCATAGTTCTCTTCACTGGACTCCGCGCTTGTTTGATGGAACATATACTGGCACCATTGGCCAGGCAATGGGGTATTTCCAAGAGGAAAGATGTTACTAGATTCTCTGAGCAGGCATGGATGCTGGTTTACTACAGCGTTTTTTGGACGCTTGGAACGGTATGGAGACCCCTCACTACCACATAGGTGCAGGAGGTTTGCTACGCGCATGCCTACCTACCTAATCTACATATTTGATGTTCGACGATTATACTAACAAACGATCCCTCGAATAGTATCTATACGTCAATTCAGCCTACTTTCTCAACATGAAAGAGCTCTGGACTGGCTGGCCGAATAGGGAACTCGACGGGCTCATGAAAGGCTACATACTGGCGCAATGGGCTTTCTGGATACAGCAAGTCCTTGTTATCCATATCGAAGACCGAAGAAAAGATCACTATCAGATGCTCATCCATCATTTTATCACCATCACGCTCATTTCCGGGTGTTATTACTATTGCCATACTCGAGTTGGTAATCTCATCTTGGTTCTTATGGATGTGGTTGACTTGTTCCTCCCGGTAAGTTGAATCATTTAAGCCCCTAAAATATACTACTTGGCTCCGTTTAGCTAACTCCAATAACAGCTGGCAAAATGCTTGAAATACTTAGGGTTCTCGAAACTATGTGATGCCACGTTTGTGGTTTTCATGGTGTCGTGGTTTGTGGCCAGACACATCTTTTACCTTATGACATGCTACAGTATTTACAAGGACGTGCCTGAGCAAATCACCTGGGGCTGCTACAGTGGCCCAAATTCAAACCTAACGGGACCGTTACCTATTCCTGATGGATGGGGTCACGTTTTAGAGCCATTCAATGGCTCTGAGGGTACGGTTTGTTTCTCTAGCTCAATTCAATGGGGGTTCCTATATTGTCTACTCGGTCTCCAAGTCCTCACCATCTTTTGGTTCTTCATGATCATCAATGTGGCCATCCGGGTGGTTAAGGGGGATGGCGCCGATGATACTAGGAGCGATGACGAAAGGGATGAAGAGGAGTTAGAAACCGAATACGAAGAAGCACAACCGCTCGAGGAAGAAGTCGGCGTGGAAGCCATCGATTTGAAGGGGTGGGAGCGTCGGGCAGGCGTTAAGAGAGGCGCAAGTTCTTCTGGTGTCAGTTTACCCGGCCATAGCGATCGTAAGGAGTTGCTCGGTCGTATCGGCTGCGAGAAGCAGGTTGACTGATATATCAGCGAAACAAGGTGTATCGCGGTGCACAAACACAAACATGGTAAACGGCAGGTCCCTTTGCTTGTGGCGGCCGCTGGGGGTTATCGTGCGCGCCGCTAAGGAGCGCCGCGCTTAGGCGTGCCGGGTGATTAAGGGCACAAAAGTTAAGCGTGGCAATCTTCATTTTGTCTTGTTCATATGGGTTGATCTGGGAGCGGTACCCTGTGCGCTACTTTGCTGCGCCGAGGGAGGACCATCTGCTCTATCTCGGCATATATAGAAACGGAATTCAGTACTTATACCCCATAACCACGTTATATGCGAGCCCGTATAGGGCTTTGTCGGTCTTAATATTAATGATACGCATGATTCGTTTCCTATCCCGCTACCCACGGCCATTATAGCGACTCCGTCACCCTATTTTGTGAACTTAAATCTAAGGGCTATACTACTTTCTCGAGGTGTATAGCTTAACCCCAACTCTAATATTTTGTTGATGAGCGCGCTTAATCGTCTTACTACTCTCACTTGACCGCACTTTCTAACTCAGTCCAACGCCGCAGAGAAGATTTCAAGCTCACTGTTTAGGGAAAGAGATCATCTCAAAGAGGCATTGAAAAAAGGCGAAATAAGAGCCGAGGATGAAGGTACAAAACATAGACAAGCTAGTAGGACAGCCCAATTTTTATTTGACGCATCCTGCGAGAATGGAGCAGATCTCAAGTGTGAAATCATATGCCATGAAGAAATGAGTGAGGCTCTCGAGGAGAACTTAGAGGCTACAGTGGAAGCTATCCAGAAAGAGGCAGAGCAAGATCAGAGGGTCTCAGACATGTGCGAAAAAGTCAGAATAGCGAAGAATTCTGCGTTGGATGAGAGAAAATTTTCACGTATCGTCTCGCAGCAAGTGAAAGGCCTAGAGGGACTTGCCAGAATACAACACAACAAAATCAAGTAGCTCAAGTTGGAAATCATAGACCTAAAACAGGCTAACAAGATCCTGCCAAAAGGGAATGGCCGTCTTTATGCCGAGAGCTCCTCCATTCAAAAGGCATCCATAGGCATTCAAAGGGACCACTACTCAGACAAAACATCAAGTGCCGTAGTGCGCAGACTCGAAGAGCAAATCATAATATCTAGAAAGCAAACTCAGAAGCTACTCGCCATACCTCGGCAAGAGAGCGGACAGCGAGTTGGATTAGAGAATAATTACTCATCCGAGTGGCATCAAGCGACAAGTTGGACTACCCACGAATATCAAAGAAACGAGCATACGGCAAAAATAGACCAGAAGCTAGCTGCACGCATAGCAGCTCAGACGGATGTGGATGAAAAGCAAACATCAGATAATCCAAACGTCGAGCACCAGCGTCGAGGATCTGTTGGGCCACGAGTGACGGCAGCGCAATATAACTTTATATGTAGAAGCCCAGACACGGGAGTTCGGAGAAATGCATGAAGCAGAGGCTATGCGGAACGTGCGGAGGGAAGAGCAGATGGCGCAGTTCGCGATGATGAACAGGTCGAGGCCGTACCAGACCAGCCTCCGGGCCGCAGGGCGCCGGAGTCAACTTACGCGATGTTATCGAGACGCAGAGTCGAGAGCAGGCTGCGGCAGTCGAGCTTGGCGGGCAAGGGGGAGATCACGCGCATATTGGCTTCCTGTGGACTGGCGTACTGCCCCTGCGGGAGAGAATGTTCGGGCTGAGGTTTCTGGAGATGGGGATGCTGGCGGTGGTGATGGTGGTGATCATGGCGGATGTGCTGTGCATAGGATGGCGCCGCTTGATGGACCTATATATGACGTGGTCAATAATAATGATAGCAATGACGACGACGACAACAAGTGACTGTGCTCTTCTTCTGGTTGTCTGGGATTTCTATCTCTGTTATATGTAGCGAATTTTGGGTTCTGATTACAGCTTCGTTTGATTCAATTCGGGTGGTTGGCCTTCTAACGTCTGTTGGGCCTGGCTCTGGAAGTATATCGTACATCGTTATATCGTATATCGTTCGAAGATATAATAAACAAAAATATAAAGTGTTTAAGGGGGCGTAATATGTTGCATGGGACTCTCGATGCGAGCAATATCTAGTCATGTTCTCTTCTCTTTACGGTGTTAAGGGATAGGAAATAGGGGTTAGGGGGCTAGGGGTTGGGCATGGTGTCTTGGTTCCCTCGGTCTTTACCTACCTAAGGCTTGTTCTCTAAGTTATTATGTGTCTAGGTTGATGTTCTTCGTTGGAAGTTTACTTTTCAGGATATACACGTTGTGAATCTCGGATGCCTCGGAATTTTAACGGGAAGTCATACTTTATAAGCCAAGGGAGGAACATTTGCTCCATAGTTTGAACATACCATATCCTTGATTTGAAATTGGTTTTAGTGATCGTATTGGAACCGAATGCTCGAAGTTGCTGTAGCTATAGAAGGACGTGTATGTACTGGGTCTTAACTTGTTGCCTGTGGTGGAGAATGTACCTACACAGTAGCGAACTAGAAGTTGAGATATCTACTGAATATGTTGCAACTCCTCTCGTAGCTAATTGGTTACCAAAGTGTCGTATAAGAGTTTACAGGGGTATTGTCAATCCGAAGAGGCCGTGAAAAGTCGGTATTAGTGATGTTGTAACGGTTATTATTAAAACAGCAGAAACCGTAGAGGGGTAGGTAATAGTATTCATCCAATCAGCTTAAAAGATATTGATGGGCTTAGTAGTATGAAATGTTCGCAAATACTAACCATACAGTAGCACTTAAACTTGAGGCTTTTACGTGTGCTATTATTAGACAATGAATAAATGTATTTGGAACACTTCACAGCATGGAAACAACTGGTCATTATGTACATGATTGTACCACGTCGGTTATCGGGTTTCCTCGTAAATTTCATTGGGAGGACTTCGGCGTTCCTTTTCGTTCGACGATCGGGTGCTGTGCTGTGGCAAGACTAGATTGTGACTGGTCATTAAAATAAAGCACACCGCGATGGACACGCGGTCATCGCTCCTAGTCGATACCAATACGAGAAGGCAACAGCATAATTGAACTCGACTGTGATCGCAATTCAACTCCAGTTTAACATTATAGTTAGTTATTGATATTTGGGTAAAGTAAACACGAGTATCATCTAAGACGTAGGTAAACAGTGCTCACTACTCCCTAACAGAAGACTTGTATGAATAGGTACACATGCGTTGGCAATAGGCTAATAGTAACAGACACCTATGTGGCTATTTCTTTTATATCAAATAGCGTTATACCGGACTATGTACGAGATGCTCCGGGCAGCGGCACCGTGGCGCAGATTCATTCGATCCGGTCCAGCCGCAATGCCGTATTTCATGGGGTAAACACCTTGTCAAATTACGCGGGCCATGGGTCTCTATATATGGAGTTTTTAAAGTACGATCCAATCGGGGAATTTTTAATCTTTCTGCCTTCCAGAAGACTTACATTAGTTACAGAATGTTTATTGGTCTTGTCAATGATGTATGTAAAGCTTTGACCTCATACAACCTTCTCGGAGCTGAGCTGAGGTGAGCTATACGAGCGATTCCAGCATACCCTTCAGCCCTTTCAAGTCTAGCCAGTGAAGATCTCCACTGACTGCCGATCTCTGTCGTAAATATATCAAGTTACGCGTTACTCGACATGTCTCAACCCCACAAGTCGGGAGGCGGTGATCCTTCTTACAGATGATGCATAAGATGGTGATTCCCATTTCGGGTAGATCTTCAACTACCCCGTTATTTCTGATTGGTCGCTTTGTCCTCAGCTAGTTAGCAACTTGACCGGGGGTGTGGCTTATCCCAGGGCTCGGTCCATAGAGCACTCCCTGCGTCGCTTTGCATGATCAGATGCGCGGAAACATCGTGTTCGAAAGGTCAACGGGCGGAAATTCGCGAGATGCAAAGCCTCCCGTGTTGTACGTACAGAACGTCTGGACTATCGACTTTAGGCACCGACGAAACGATGTGGGAAGACCTCGTGTTATTATAAAAGGAAGGCGAGAGACTACGATCTTTAGACTCCAATCGATCAGTCTCAGACAACAAAGCATCTAACAACTTATACACAATATCAACAACACTATCTACTCGATTCTAAAATCTTCTAAACCACCACCGCAAAAATGCAGTTCACTACCTTCCTCGCCGCCGCCGCTGCCCTCGCTTTCGGCGCCAACGCCAACGCCGTCCCTCGTGATGGTGCCCGTCTCGCCCAGTTCCGTGTCTTCGGCGCCGAGGGTTGCAGCGAGCTGAACCAGGGGTTCTACACTGTCGACGCGTCCGACGCCAACGCTTGCAAGACCTTTGACGGCGTGCCTACTCCCCCCGGCGTTAAGTCCGTCACCTTGGAGGCCATGAACAGCCCCGCCGCCGACAGCTGCAGCTGTACGTCTCCCGTCCTGTATTCATATCGGCGATGAGAATATGTCAACTAACTGGGATAATAGTCTACGTCTTTACTAACAACATCTGCACCTCCGGTGCCCAACGTCTTGAGACCGGCACTTGCACCGGCGTCCCCCCGCCCAATGCTAACTGGGCCTCGTGGAAGATCATCTGCTCTGCTGTCTAATTCCGTTCATCGTTATAAAGGCTAGAGAGCGATATGGAGGATATTCGTCCTCGTGAATGAAGATGGGGGGATTAATGCGTCTAATGAAGGAGAGCAGTGCCTTGGGGGCACGATCTTGGATAACCTGGCATCGGACATTGTGAATTGAGGCATTAGTTCGCTGGTTGGAAAAATCATGACTTACCTATATTCTTGGCATTTATGATGTACACTCCTTCACATCAGTATATATGAAATTGTTTATATTCATACGATTGATTGATTTGACTATTGTTCCTGAAATGTAAAATTGAACTTGACTTAGATGCTTACCTGGTATCTGAGGTGTGTCTAATACGTCGAGGGTTGAAAAGGGGTTACGCGACGGTGTTATCAATACAGAACTGCAATTTTCAATTTAAATACACCTAATAAGAAAAGTGATGAATTAGTGTCATATCAAGAAAATATTAGAGGTATTTATAGAGTAGGGGGCTAGGTAGACGAGAAAATACTTCACACGGGCTTCCCGTTTCTTTCCGCTTCAGACAGAAGCCGTCTTACCATGGAACCAGAAAGGGGTCGCCAAGGGTTACTTCGTAGATGTATCAATATTGCATTTGTATTCCGATAACCGCTAGGATTACATACCGGCCCAGGATTCTCTTTCTGCCTATTAGAACGCGAGCCGTGGGGGAATATTGAATCCACTCTAACATGAGCTTATTTCGACTTCGTTGGCTTTCTAATAGTCTTTCAGTTCTATGGTTTTCTGGCGTTTGCAGCATAGGTAATGCAAATCACGATCGACTTAAACCTTGTTTTAGTATTTTCTTTCTATACTTGCCTAATGCATTAGGTACCTCTTAATTCCGAGGCATAGGGTCTTTTGGTCAACTCAAAAGTCACATCTTTATTTCGGCACATTTTCGTATTCGGTATCCGTCCTTCAGGTGATATGTAGTTGGTTATAGGGGAACCCCTTGAAGTCCTACCGTCTGGCATGGCATAGCTTGGGTACCTACGTACCTATTTTATAATTAATGAAAATTTCAGGATCGCTCTAGCGGGAAATGCCATTTGAGACATAATCGGGTTTGCCCGTCAACCCTTTTTCTAGTACGAAGGGATTCTATTGAGAACCTGAAGCTGGGCTTATTGGTCATCTCGCTTCGATTGGCTACGTTTAAAGTACTCCGCCATCACCGTGGCTGTGCGCGCGTAGAATAGAGTAACCTGGGCTGCCTGGTAGTGTTCGATATTGTGGCTTGCGTCAAGTCCTGAATTTTCTTACCTTATTTTGGAAGAATGGCGTTTGCCTTCTCGGAGATGCCAGCCCTCTTCGAAGGTAAACGTGTTAGGTAAACTTCCGTGCGATAGCTTCTCGGAAACAACTATGATATGTATCGCTGACCATTTCCGCGTGTAGGGAGGGCGCATTTGATCGCGAAGTGTTTCATCTGGATCTAGATCTGGATTTGGTTGGATATAAAATAATACACACCCGTGCCATCTAGGCTACTGAGCTTATTAGTTACTTGCGTTCAATAAATATAAACCGTTCACGGTGTTCTGAGTCATTGGAATATAATTATTGCATTTCAGTCATTGGTTCGGAGACAAAGCGTATTATGGCTGGCTGCCTTGAGAGAACATTGCTAACACAGCAGTGCCAGTGGTGGCGATAGTTAGTCTCATCTATACCTCTAGCGGTGGCGGCTATGGGCTCCCTATGCAAAATTTTCTATATTAGAAAATTTAATTACTAGATACTTCATCCGGGAACACGTCCTTTCTATTTAGACCAGCCGTGTACCTCACAGCAATTTTCGATTCCCCAATCTAGTTACACGACACCGTTTAGTCCTGTAACATAACCATGGCAACTCATCTACCATAGGAACTCTAGAACCGAGCCGTCTACCTCGTTGCCCTGGCTCTCACGGATAGATCGTTACATCTACTGCGTGGAAGCTCGTACTTCCTTACATTGAGCCCATTCCCCCCCTAATAAAGGGGTATCTGTTTGTGGGACTGTTTTATCTAGACCACATGTTGTACTCATAAGCCCACGGTCCTTCGAGTTTCATATAACCGTCAATGACATTTCTCTGCAAGTTATTGTCTTCGAGGCCGTTCCCATTCTCGTACCGTCTTGTGGCATCATCTTCTTGCGTGGCCTGACTGGCCGAGTCCCTCTCAAGAGTTAGTCAGTATCATCACCGATATGCCATCAGACTTACCAAACGATAGAACCTTGGTTGTTTTCCGTCGACCAACGTCGTCCATTTAGGGGATCGCCAGAGCCGTTAAACCCCGGTTGAGTTCCTTCATACTGTGTATATGGGCTTTGTAACTGGCTAGATACGCTACTCGTCCATGTCCTATCGCCATCGTTGTCCGGTATGTCTAACGCCGGCGGCGAATATGTCACGGGTGCCCCATATCTGCCTAGGGTTGGGTTATTGTTCTGGATATGAGATATCGTATCCGCGTTACTAGAAATGGAGGTCGAGTCCATATAAGCGCTGGTTAGGGAAGTATCCGTTCGATACGGTACACACCAGACGTTGCTGATGCTAGCGGTGGTGCTCATGTCGTTTGTTGGGTATAGGGACGGTGTACTGGAGCTCGAAAGGTGGCGGGATGATCCCCGTAGTGGATGCGAATCACAGAGATTAAAGGTTGTTTCGTACGCTACAGTGTCGACGTCGCCTTCTTCGTGAGAAATTGACATAGGGGAGATCGCATGGGTATTGGTAGAGGGGTACGGAGTAAGGCTCCCATTTTCGCCTTGAGTCAGGAAATCGATGCTAGTTGTGGTTAACTGACCTCCAGCTATGTTGACGTTAACCTCTTCGTTCGAATGATGGATATTACTAGAAGACCCTCGCCAACGATTGGGATCATCGTCATGACCCAACAAGCACCCGGCATCGTTATCTAATGTCTTATAGACGTCATCAGACATTTCAGGGACTAGTGGGTATAGATGACGAGGGTAGGAGCTTTTGTAAGCCCTACCGGATGTTGACCGGCTGTGGTTCCTAGGTCCGTCTAGTCGATAGTCGGCCATATCTAATTCGCCTCTAGTGATGTTGGGGTATTAAGAATCGATATGGAGCTTTATACCGAAAGAAAATGCTAGAGCGGCTTTGGCGAGCTTTTTATGAGCAAATAAGGCTTGGGACTCGAAGGATCTCGGGCGCTTCCACCTTTTGCCTATATAAAATGATGCCTTGCCCGGAGACCAAGAGCTTCACCCAATCACTTTACGTCTGCCTTTAAATAAACTGCCTGGAGTGGGTCGCGGGCGAGACAGGATAGAAGGAGCAGGTATACCTACGGTGAAAGAGGATACCGAGCCATGGGCCACCGTCGGAGAAGCAATGGAAATACGCCAGCGAAAGCCTCCCTTTCACATGAATGGGACGTACGATTATGCACCTCCTATAAGAATACCGCCGTTGGGTTGACATCGCTTACAACAGGTTCCAGGATCGTTGGTAAGATCGAAATACATTCTGCCTAGCACCAGGCAACCGTTGATCTATGGGTAGAATGGACGGTGAGGGGGTGTAGCGGGCGTAAAGGAGCCGAGAATCTCAGGGGGAATCTATTGGATTCCTTGTTGGTGGGCTGGGAGTCTTTGATCCAGCTGAACAAGTGACGAAGCACAATATTCTATTAAAACGACGCGGTTCCCTTAACGTGGGTGCTTTTGGTCTTTTAAACGTCACTTAGTTCAGCAACATACGAGAGTTTTCTAGGCTTTTATAGCCCTAGAACTCATGTGGCTGCAGCTGGTTTATGCGATCTAGCGGCAGGTGGAAGCGACACTATGTGGAAGAACACTGCTACCTCATCATACGAATCTCGAATACCGGCGGGGTAATTAGCTGCGTAACGTCAGATATTCAGCCTTTGTTTGCCTTGAGAGACAGCTCATATTGTCTGTTAGGAGCGTATCATCGGGCGGCTTGCAGAGTTGTATATCAATAGACGCATGAAGTGTGCGACGGAAAGCAGGCATATAGTTGGACTGTAGAGCGAAACCAAAGATTCAGCTCGTATTCTACCCTCTCCTGGATCATTCAGTGCATTAACACGGTCTGAAGATCGTCTTTAGCTTTTACTCGCCTTAAGTACCTACTCAGACCTACCCCCCATATCCTTACCGAAGAGGACCGGGACAAGACATCTTAAGATGAGCAGATATGGTTACCTCATGCATAATGTGCAGCCTTCTATTTCATTTAGACGGAGGATCTTGCCCCGTATTGGATATCTTACAGAGCAACTCTTGGTTCTTAGCTTGGGGGACGAATAGACGAATAGGGGAAGCTTGAAATATGGATGGTCGCACAACGGCCTTAACACTACACTAAGAGACATATTGCAACTAGATACATTAAGTGCTCTATCATGCGCGGGGGTCACATAACATGGTATACCACAAGACAGCCGGCCAATCGCTTGGACTTACCTGAGCGTTCTCAGTGCTCCTGCGGCGCTCTAAAGTATGCAGTGGCGTTTTCGAGCAAAAACATCCGCGATAAGCCGTGATTTAGTTTCAAATAAAAAACCATCGAATAGTGTGAGGTTTGTAATAGCGAGCCATCTGGCCAAGAGCAGCTATCTCAACGATATGTCGACTAAACGCGGCGCCCAACGAATCGTCGGTTCTTTATCACTACCGATGGGATGGATGATGGGGATAGGTCCATATGGAACTTATACTGGGGACTACATCCGCGTTCTTTCGGGAACTGCAGGAGCGTTCATATTTAGACTAGAGGGCGGTGTTGGAAGATCATTGGAGATGTACCTCAAATTACCTGCCCAGGGCTCATAAAGGCAAGTTTCTTTTTCTCTAAAAATGGAACCAGGTACGGATAACGTTACGGTCACTTGATCACATCATTACCTAATCAATAATAACTGAGGCTGTTCATATCGGCAAGCCAGTATTGTAGAAGTCAGGGGCACGTATTTTAAGTAGTGAAGTTCCTAATAGGTGGCGTATATAAAACCTGAGTTTTGGTGTGAACTCAGCCTTGAACTTGTATTAAGCTGGACACTTCGTACTATCTTCGTCCCCGCTCCTTTATTATACTTCAGGCTTCTGAAACGTACCAGAATCGTTCGCTTCCTCTTGTTGCTGTTTCCAGCGATACCCCTTTTCGATGCCAAGTTTCTTCTGAGCCGTACAGCACAGCTGCTCGTTGCCGCAGTCGCACTCCCCGCTCTCTCTCAGCCATCGATACGTGATGCTCCACCGGTCCTCGCGTTTCCTCACCGTGCCGTCTGGTAACGTGTCCGTCTTTCGCTTTCTGATCCCATGCGTCCAGTGCAGTCTGGAATCCCCCGACATCTGCATCATGCTACGCGGCGTCAAGTCGACGTCGACTCGCTGCTCGCCCTTTTGGAACTGCATTATGACGGGCGAGCCGAGAGATAGGGCGTAAAGCTGGTCATATGCAGAGTGCGTGTCTACATGGGGCGGAATCCCTGATCCGGGCGGGTAATATTGTAAACATACTTGCTCCGGAGGCCGTCCCTCTCTGGTAGGGATGAGTGGCTGGAGCCAGTCTGGAAATGGCTTGAAAGGAATATCGGGGTCCACACCAAAGGTCTTATAGTCGAACGTGTAGCCGAAGTGAAGTGATATTCTGCCTGTGCGGTCTGGCCATTCCAGTTTGTTGCGAAATATATTGATGAGTTCCCGTTCGTGCTCTGGTGTGATGAAGTTGTCTTGCCAGAAGATGCCCGAAGGCTCAATCGGGAGCTCCAGCATCTTGCTCAAAACCGAACCATGCGATTCTTAGTTTTTGAAGTGCGGTACTTTTATTGTTATTCATACATGTTGAGAAGAAGTGAGATTTTCCCCAATCCAGACTCGACTGCATCCCATGAAGCAGCAAGCCCCCTAGAATTCTAGCCGAGTTCTCAAGAGTAAGAAAGACTATTATTATCTCAGTAAATTTTTGGTCTTAGCTCATAACCTAGTCGAAGTGGTCCGTGCACAACACCAGATTTCGAGATTCGCATTTTATCTCGCCGGGGTTGTTCCAAGGAACATCAGGTCGGGCACGGAAACCAAGTGCTTGGCGACCGGACCGGTCCAACATTTCAGGAGAGGCTACCGCTAGAGCTTGTAAAGTAAGATATTGATTTCGTCTACAGTGCTGCAGGGCCATAATACATTCCTTCGCGCTGAGCAAGGTAGTAAGTACCTCATAATCAGTTTGGTAGAATTGCCTGAAGCCGGAAGTAAAGATATGACTTTTGTTGACTGCCTATCAACCGTCAGCAATTCTATGTCTAATCTAGGGCAAATCAAGGAGGCTAGTGGGCTTTGTCGCAAGTCCACGTGAGGTTGACTACGGCTCAGGTTAAAGTACCTAGCAACAGCCCAGGGACTTGGACAATGAGGAAAGTTCTCAAAGACAAGATTGAGGTATCATGCTTAGGTAGCTGTTACCACTACATGCTGACAGCATCCTGTAGGTGGTTGAGTTGATAGTACCCGGATGTGGCTTAGGGTAGGTAGTCCAATCTCCTTGGTAAAGACAATTTAGGTAACTTCAAGTCACCTACCCGTCGTCACACAGCATTGGGCTTATATGATAGGGGAATAAAATCCTACCATGCTATCGTCTTACCCCGTCCTTGTAAGCTAGTGTTGTGACCTGCCGTCATGGTCGCCGTCTCTTATTTGTGTAACCCTTCCGGAACTGCATACAATCAACCGGTGGTCTCAACTCTAGTAGAACTTACTTTATTACTGTGTATTTTAGGTACACCTCATTATTAAATCTCTTTGATTCTCTCAGTGATAATATACAAGGCGTGCCTTATCTATAGTCTTATAGTATTTAATCAACATAAGCCTCTTGTTCTCTTTTATTACCAGTACAACACTTTTACCGGCACCAATGTCTAGAGATAATAGGCGAGCAGAGGTTCAAAGAGGCTTCAAAGCCAAGAAATATATTCTCCACATGCTTTCTATATCAATTAAGCCTAATTCATATAGGTTGCATATTACTGCCAGGAATGTTTATAAACTTAAGTAAGAGGTACCATGCGTAACCCACTTATCGATTAAACCCATATTAAGCTACCTTTTCCCCATTAAAAATTACTTATTTTTAATATATTATTTAAAGTTAATTTTAATAATAAAAATATAAGATTTTATATATATAATAATTTAAAGTTAATTTAAAAAATATTATTAATTTTATATTAATTAAATTTATATTTATTAAAATATTAAATATTAAATATATTTTTAAATTATATATATATAATTTTAAATATAAATAAATTTTAAATAAAAAATAATTAATTTTAATTAATTTTATATATATTATAATTTTTTATATTAAAAATAATATAATTAATATTATTTTAAACGTTATTAATAATAGTTTATTTATATAATAAATTTTTTAAAAATATAATATTTTACGTATAATAATTTAAAATAAAATAATTAATAAAAAAGTTTAAAAAAATAATTTATACTTTTTTAAATTTACAATTAAATAAAAAATTAAATTAATTAATTAAATATTAATTTAAAAGGTTATAAAATATATTTTTAAATATATAATTATATAATTTATAATTTAAAAATACGTTATTAATAATAGTTAAAAAAATTTTATTAATAAAAATTAAATTAAAAATTTTATAAAATAAAATTTATTAATAATTATTAAAATAAGTTGTAAAATTAAAATTAAATAATTTAATTGTTAAAAAAACAAGGT